TTATCAAATAGCAATATTTTAAAAACTCAAATTAGAGAGATGGCAATATCTTATTAGAAAGCATTTGGTGTATTAGAAACTCTAAGAATTGTTTTCTGAATTACATTTTTTCATCAAGCTAACTCAAGGGGTCAGCTAAGGAAGGAAGGTTCAATGGTAAGATCTGAAAGTTGCCATGTGTCATGGGAAGTCCTTTTGTCTATAATCAGTGTTTCCAGATATTCCAGGAAACTTCAAAATTACTTTTAAGTTATGTATTAGACCTGAGTGCAAAGTACATTCCTCATATGAAATGCCAAGATTAGCCATGGTTTAAGCCAAAAGGAAAGGCAATATGTTCAAGCTTTCATATACTAATTCCTGTCCTGTGCAAGATTTATAAAATGTCCCAGCAGTCTTGCTGCCAAGACTGACAGCCTGAGTTCAATCACCATGACCCTGTGGAAGGAGAGAACTAATTCTTGCTAGTTGTCCTCTGACTTCCACACATACTTAATGTACACGCACGCATGTGTGCCCGCACAAACATAAAAATGTAGTTTTGTGCATTCATTTTTCATTGGATTTTAGGAAGACTTTAATTAATCCCTTTACCCAGGAGTCATTCAATAGGAAGTTGTTCATTCTCCATGAGTTTGTAGGCTTTCTGTTGTTTTCATTATTGAAATCCAGCTTTAATCCATGGTGGCTGATAGAATATAAGGGGTTATTTCAATTTGCTTGTATCTATTTAGATTTGCTTTATGTAGCTAGATTTCTCTTTGACCACCAACTCACTAAAAATAACAAGGGGACTTCTTAATTATGAAAGCTCAGCTATAGCTTAGCCTTTTCCCACTAGCTCTTATGACTTAAATTAACCCATTTCTGTTCATCTGTGTATTGCCACATGACTCATGGCTTTTACCTCTCCTCCTGCTTGTCTTGTCTGAGTTCAGCTGGCAACCCCACGTTTCTTCTTCCCTGGGACCTCTCTGTCCCCAGAAGTCCTGTCTAACCTCTTCCTGCTTAACTGTTAGCCATTCAGCTCTTTATTAAGCCAATCACAGTGATGTGTTCACACCGTGTAAAGGAATATTCTTTAACACTTTGTGATCAGGTATGTGATTGCTGAGAAGAAGGTATATTCTTTTGAGTTTGGGTGAAATGTTCTGTAGATACCTGTTAGATCCATTTGATTCATAATGTCTATTAACACCAGTATTTCTTGATTTCGTTTTTTCTGGATAACCTGTCCATTGGTGAGAGTGGTTTATTGAGGTCTCCCATTATTAATGTATGACATTCAATATGTGATTTAAGCTGTAGTGATATTTGTTTTACAAATATGGGTGCCCTTGTGTTTGGGACATAGATGATGAGAATTGGAATGTCATCTTCGTGTATTTTTCCTTTGATGAGTATGAAATGTCCTCCCTATCTTTATTAATTTTGATTGGAGGTCTATTTTGTTAGATATTAGAATAGCTACACTATCTTACTTCTTGGGTCAATTTACTTGGAAAATCTTTTTCCAACCCTTTACTCTGAGGTAATGTCTATCTTTGATGTTGAGGTGTGTTTCTTGTATGCCACAGATGGATGGATCCTGTTTTTGTATCCATTCTGTTAGTCTGTCTCTTTTTGAGACAAGGTTTCTCTGAAGCCTATCCTGGCACTCGCTCTGGAGACCAGGCTGGCCTTGAACTCACAGAGATCCACCTGCCTCTGCCTCCCGAGTGCTGGGTAGTCTGTCTTTTTATTGGTCAATTGAGTCCATTGATTTTGAGAGATACTAATGACCAATGATTGTTAATTCCTGTTATTTTATTGGTGATGGTGGTGGTGGTAGAGGAGTGTGTGGGTGAGAGAGAGAGGCAGGGAGAGAGAGACAGAGAGAGGGGAGGAGAGGGAAAGAGAGAGAATGAATTTCCCATATTTCAGTTTTGTTGGTGTGAGATTATTTATTGCCTTGTTTTTATGGGTGTAGTTAAATTGGGTTGGAATTTTCCTTCAAGCACCTTCTGTAGGTCTGGAGTTATGGGTAGATACTGTTTAAATTTGATTTTGTCATGAAATACCTTATTTTCTCCATTTATGGTAATTGAGTATTGCTGGGTATAGTAGTCTGGCCTGGCATCTGTGGTCTCTTAGAGTCTGCAGGATATATGTCCAGCAGGCCCTTCTGGCTGTTAATAGTCTCCATTGAGAAGTCAGATATAATTCTAGTAAGTCCACCTTTGCATGTTGCTTGGTCTTTTTCCCTTACAGCTTTTAATATTCTTTCTTTGTTCTGTATAAGGATTCATACATTATGCTGACCCCACCCCCTGACAACTGGCATTCAGGCAGATACTTACACAGCTCAAAGGGCCCTGTGTTGTTACAGGTTCTCAGGCAAGACTCCCCTACAGTTCTGTATATTTAGTGTTTTGATTATTGTGTGGCAAGGGCACTTTCTTTTTTGGTCCAATCTATTTTGGTGTTCTGTATGCTTTTTTTAACGTTTATAGGCATTTCCTTCTTTGGGCGAGGAAAATAGTTTTCTATGACTTTGTTAAAAATATTTTCTGCACCTTTGAGCTGAGATTCTTCTTCTTCTATTCCTATTATTCTTAGATTTGGTCTTTTCATAGTGTCCCACATTTCCTTGATATTTTGTGTTAGAAATGTTTTAGATTTAGTTTTTCTTTGATTGATGAATCTATTTCTTCTACCGTATCTTCAATGCCTGGGATTCTCTCTTCCATCTCTTGTACTCTGTTGGTGATGCTTTTGTCTGTAGTTCCTGTTCATGTACCTAGATTTTCCATTTCCATAATTCCCTTAGTTTTTGTTTTCTTTATTGCTTCTATTTCCATTTTCAGGTCTTGAACAGTCTCCTTCAACTGTTTGTCTTTTCTTTGCTTTCTTGGTATTCTTTGAGGGATTAATTTTCTTTAATTTCTTTAAGTAAATTTTTCAGTTCCTCTTTAAGGACAGCTATTGTCTTCAAGAAGTTGATTTTAAAGTCATTTTTTTTTGTGCTTCAGCTGCATTGAAATATTCAGGTCCTGCTGGCATAGGATATCTGGACTCTGGTGGTGCCATAGTGCCCTTTTTGTTACTGATTGTGTTCTTATACTGGTGGTTAGGCATCTGGGTTTGGAATGATTATAGGTATATGGGCTGATTTCTAGTTTGTCTATGGTGAATGGATGCTTTGTTCCTTAGTTTCTGTTTTCTCTTTGATCTTCTGGTCTTTGTGACCTGGGTTTCTGTGAGCTGACATGACCGCTGATCCAATAGGAAGTCTCTGTCCAAGTTGGGGCTGGACTTCTGGCAGAGAGGTTAGCTTGCCCTTTGGCACAACAAGGAGTCTCTGCTCAAATTGGGGAGTGGGATATGGTGTGGAGGAAGGGAGTGAGGATTGAGGCCACTGAGTGAGTGGAGAAAGTCCATGGACTGGCCACCTATCTGTGGTTCTGGAGGCCAATGAGATCTCTGATACAGAAGGGAGTCTCTGCTTGAGATCACCTATGTGTTTTTCTGACTTGCTTGTTGTGCATCTCTTCTTCTGACTGCCATGCCCTGCTCCTGGGCAGGTGCTCTGACTGCCATGGCCTGCTCCTGGGCAGGTGCTCTGACTGCTTGCTTGTTGTGCATCTCTTCTTCTGACTGCCATGGCCTGCTCCTGGGAAGGTGCTCTGACTGCCATGGCCTGCTCCTGGACAGGTGTTCTGATTGCCCTGGTCTGCTCCTGGGCAGGTGTTCTGATTGCCATGGTCTGCTCCTGGGCAGGTGTTCTGACTTCCATGGCCTGCTCCTAGGCAGCAGAAGTCTCCCTGAGTTGAGGCAGGAGGCACGGACATGGAGGGAACAGCAGTGTGGCTATACAGGGGGCAGTAGAATGGGTCTTTGGGAACCAAATCTAAGGGGTGGGAACCTGTTCTTATGATTGGTGTGGCCTATGTCTGAGCAGTGAACATCTGCCCAAGTTGGGGGCGGGTGCATGGGGAGAATGAGTGTTTGGGACCTGAAACTAGGGAGTGGGGCAGTTCTAAGGGTAGGTGAGTCAGTCCTAAAATTGTAATTTTTAAAAATTAGAGAAGAAATAATATTTGTATTAGCATGTGGAAACTTACAGTAATAGTCTTGATTCCATCTACTCTCTGTTCTGCATCAATAAATGTTTACTATAGCTATGAGGCCTTTCTGGATTGCAGACCTTATCTTTTCCCACCTTGAATTTGTTATCTTCTATGTATCTGTAATTTGAGTATATTTGGTATTACTAGTCAATGCTACTGAAATTTATCAATTACATTATAAGCCGTTGTCTAAAAAGGGTGTTTCTCTTTCCCAAGCTCCTTTTAAGTTGGCTGTGGTGACTGACACCTGTAACCTTAGCACTCAAGAGGTTGAAGTAGGAGAATTACTGTGACTTCTAGGCCAGCCTGGGCTATGGGGAAACACTTCTTCCAAAAAAATCAGTAGTAAACAGATAAATTAATGTAATTAAAAGCTGCTTTGAGTTTGAGCCCTGCAGTTAAGCACTTGCATATCTCCACCATGGGATTCCAGCCAGAGTCAGGCAGTCAGGCCAATAGCCTGTTCAGCTCATGACTAACTAGTCAGATGCAAGGGCAGTTAGTTAGACAACTACAATTGGAACAAATGCTAAAAGTCAAGACTTATAAATTCTCTAACACATTTAGAGGAGGTGGCCCTATTTGTCATTGTCAGGAAAGGCCTTCCAAAGAAGAGTGACATCAGTTAGCCAGTCGGGCAGCCAGAGGGAACTATCATGAAAGGAGAACTAAGGCTGGTGCAAGTTTGATGCTTTTGAGGGTCTATCTTCACAAAGGTAGCAAGCAGAAAGATTAGGTTGGATAGGGAGGGCAACCTCTCATGAAGGTGTGAAGAACTTTTGAACCTCATTCAGAGGGGAGAGCTTGCAGGTAGGGCTACAGTCACACTTGTGGGTAGCCCATGAAATCGAAAGCAAGTGACTCTTTGTCATCTCTCTGTCTCTTGGTCAGGAATACAACTGGAGGAACTATCAGCCCAGCCAGATGAGTGAATGTGAGCTACAGATGCTAGCAAGCCTCCGACGGCAGCAGAATGAGGACCTGGAAGACACTGGGGATCCTCATGGCCTGAGTGCATCCCAAGTGGACAACTGTAATGTTAGCATCAGTACCAGCAGTGATGACACAACTACGTGGAACTCTTGTCTGCCACCTGTGAGTTCTACAACTTTACATCTATTCCCTTGTCTTCAAAAGGAACAAGACCATTTCTAACAAAGCCCAGCTTTTTCCAGGAAAAGTAGAGCCCAAACCAAGGCACCCACCATGAGAAACCTACAGAGCTCATTCTGAGATAGTCTTTTAGGGAAGGGACAGATAATAGAGGATGCCATTGTCTTGTCTTACACTGTCTTAGACACTCTTGGAAATGTGTGTATGATGATTGATTGAATTAGTTCTCTTTTGTTCTGCACAATAAATGAGAACCAGGCCATTTACAAACACAAATATCTATTTTATTTAGTTCTAAAATCTGGAAAGTCCAGTGTCAAAGGACCTACATTTGGCAAAGGTATTATTTATGCATCATCCCCTGATAGCAGGGAGAATGGTCATGGGTGGGGGGAGTGGGAAGCAGACTAGTGGAAAGGAGCTCAGTGAATCTTTTTATCATGAACTCACTCCCACAATAGTGGGATTAATTCATTCATGGACACAGAGTCTTCACACTCTAACCACCTCTTAAATATCTCACCTCTCTTCTCCTTCATGTAGGCAATTAAATTTCTCATATGTGGACTTTGGAGGGGAGGGATCCTCAAATCATAGCAGTATATAAAATCATGTAATGAAATGGGTTCTGACAATTCCTGCTCCTAACATAAGCCTTTTGCCACATAAAAGAGACTTAATATTTTCATTGAAATACTTATTAAATGGATGAACAAAATGGAAAAGACTGTAGACATACTAAATACTGTTCTCTTGTGAGGACAGAGAAGACCTTCTGTAGAAGTCACTGGATGTTTACTGACTCCTCTGTATTTGAGGGGCCATGATAGGAGTTACAGATATCTTTTCCAAAGATTTACATCCCCGTGTGTTTACATGTTAAAAACACATTAGTATAGCCATCACCCTCACCATGGCCCAGCAGAGAATGAAATATAAAATCTTTGACTCAAGCTTATAAATAGTTATATAAAGTTAAGAGTGTAGCACAATGGTCAGGTCCTTGCCAAGCATGTGTGACATCCTGGATTTCATCCACCACTGAAACAATTTAATAAACAAAAGCTGAGTCTTCTTCATAGAGACTGTCTGTAATCCCAATTAAAATAGCACAAGAATAGCTCTGAGTTCTACAGTGCAACATAGGTTCTTGACCACCTCTTGCCTGCTTCCTTAGGTGCCAACTGGAAATAATAAAAGATCTCATAATAAAAACTTAAATTAGGGGCTGGAGAGACCACTGTTCTTTTGAGGACCTGGGTTTGGTTCCTAGCAACCATATGGTGGCTCACAGCCATCTGTAACTCCAGCTCCAGAAGATTCTATATCCTCTTCTGGCCTCCACAGGCACCAGACACATATGTCGTACACATACAAACAAAAAAATCCAAGCACATAAAAGTTAAATCTTCAAAATTGTTAAATTATGCTTTAAACCTACGTAAATATTAACTTCAAATGTGGTGGAGAGAAATTTTATATATTTAACAAATACTCATTTTGCCATCTGCTTTTATCTTAAAGCTGGTTTTTCCGGGTCTCTAACATCTTTGTAGGCCTTCCATGTTACAGCAGTTCCCTCGTCTCATAGTCACCTGAGTCTTTCCAGCTGCCATTAGTGTTTCTACTTCCAGTGAGAACCCTGAGGGTCTGTCTCTCTTCCTGGTAACTTTTGGTATGAGTTGTTTGTCAAGTAGGTGCTACAGAAAACCAATGGAAAACGAGGCTCCTGTGCTCTTGAGAGAACATGTGACTCATCATGGCAAATGAATCAAATAGACTCCAAGGAGAACAACACTGGGGAAGGCACCACCAGTGTTCACTTAGTGTCTTTTATCTCCCTCTCCCCTGCCTCCAGCTTCCTCTTGCTTAATTTGTGGTTTCATTAGACATGACCATGGATACATAGACCTCTTCAAATGGCCTTGGTGCTGGACAGTATCCACCACCCAGAAAAATACCTGTGTCCCCAAGACTTTGGCCATACAGCATCCTTGCACCAAAGTGAAAAGCATACGGGTCCATTTCAGATAGAAATGAAACAGGCCTTTCTATAGAATATTCCTCAGCAGTCATTTAAACCTCAGTTAGAAAGAGAATAGTGGCCTCTGGATGGAGCTTATTTTGTCAGGAAGTGGCTCAGAGACCAGCAGTACAAAGGGCAAGCTGAGGAATGATTATTTATGGACTGAGAAGTCTGAACTCTTGGTTGCCCTGGATACCAGGTTCTCATCACTGTCCTGTTCTGGCAAGAACCGAAGTCTCTTGCATGACAAGTACTCTACTCTAAATGCACACTGCCAAAAATAACACCATTAGTAATGAACTTAATAACCCCTCTATTCAACCAAATGAGAAATTGAAAAGTCTATTTTTTAGACAGCAAATTTTGAAAATCCTACCTTTTGTATTCATAGGATATGTTTATTGTTTCATCAAATTCAGTTTGCTCCAATATTGGAACTATCAACAAATGGGAAATTGCATTCCATAATGAAATCTGCATCCTACTGCTTGTGTGGAGTTTAAATAGAGCAATTTACAAATATTGTTTCAGGCTCTCTGGGAGCTCATGCTTTTCTCCTCAGAAAAGGTGTGGAGATGGTGAAAGCGAAATGAAAGGGCTTCTGGTGTCACCATTAGGATGTCCTGCCCTGCTCTTGTCTCGATGAATGGTGCTAACCTCCAATGGCCCTCGAGCCGGAAGATTGGAAGACATTGCCCACATTTTCATTCCCCCATAGCCATATTGGTCTTCAGATACTAACGCTCTTCTGTTTGTTTCTTTTTAATTAAGTTTTTTAGATTTATACATTTTATTTTATGTGTGAGTGTTTGGACTCCATATATGGATATTCACCATGTGCATTCCTGGTACCCTCAGAGGTCAGAAGAGGATGTCAGATCCACCGGCACTGGAATTATGAATGGTGCTGAGACCCCAACCCAGGTCCTCTGCAAGAGCTCCAAGTATTCCTAACTGATGAGCCATCTCCCCACCCCTTTGCTTCTTAGTCCCCACTGCCTAACACCACAGACTTGGCATGCTGCTGTTCATCTGAATTTGTGCAGCAGTACCTCGTCATCTCTTTGCCTCTGCTCCAAATACCACAAGCTGTGGGTTAGGAGCACTGATTCTAAAGTCATAATGTGGTGAACCAAAGCCAGCCTGTGACCTTGTAAAGCAACTGGTGCTCATTGGAAATATAATAAGCACTTAGTAAAAACCTTCGTTTTCAGAGATGGCTCAGGTGTTAAGAGCACTTGCTGCTCTTCCAGAGGGCCAGGATTCTGTTCCCTGCATCCATGTCAGGCAGCTCAGAGCAGCTAATGCCCTCTTCTGGTCTCTGTCTGTATACACACACAGCATATACTCACACAGACATATACACATAAACAAAGTAAATCTTTTTTTAAAAAAAATGTAATTCTCATTTTTCACACTACATCTTTGTAAAGCCTCTGCTCTCTCCCTTCTGTAAAGCCCTTCAGTGGTTCCCCGTGGCCTCTTGCGTCTGGCACAGAGGTCACTGCACTCTGAGATGTGCCCATCTCAGTGTCACCAGTCACTGCTCTCCACCCTTCACTCCATGCTTTCAAACTAGCTGCACTGCGTGAATATATGTGTACCTTGCACCAGATTATCCCTCAGATGCTACTGAGATGCTACTCGAGGTCTCACTGTGAAAGCTATATCTCATTGTATGTTCTATAACCAGGAATATGTAGCTCACATCCCAAACTTGCTAGTTTGTGCCACATTCATTCATTCTGCACCTTTTTCTAGTAAATGTGTTGGGAAATAGGCTGGGTGTTGGGGATATAACTTGTCCTCATCTTCAGATGTTTACAAAGACGAAGGCTCTGTAGGTGAGTGACAATAAAACAGAAAACTATAGGGTGATGTAGGAGGAGCAATCAATTTGAATTCTGGGTTCCAGGTGTGCTTTCAGAGAAGGCATCAGTTAAATCAGAGTTCAAGAATGTTTGCACATTTACACATAGACAAAAGGGGGGACAGAGTTTCAGATTCCAAAAAGGAGCAGACAAATCTGTGGAGGTGATTACGCAGTCTCTCCCTAGACAAGACTCCCTTCTATTCAAGCCTCTGCCTCTCTTCAGCTCACACAGAGCAGGAAACTCACCATTCCTACCTAGCCCATTGCATATGCACAGGAGATTGACACTACTCCAGCCACACGGTGTCACCTAGCCATCACTGGGGGAGCCCCTGCCCTTGCTGTCTTCCAGAGTTCTCTTCCATACCACTCCTCCCTTTGAGATTTATCCACTTGCTCTTTGTCTGCTTGTTTGTGTTTGGTTGTTTCTGTCCCCTGCTTTGCTTACACATTGGCTTTTTTATTAAAGGATATTTATTTGTGAAGGGTGCACACCATGGCACAGGTGTGGAGGTTGGAGGACAGCTTGGGAAAGTTAGTTTTCTTTCACCATGGAAGTTACCAGGCTCATGGAAATGCTGAGCCCGCCCCTAAAGAATTTATTGTTAAGGTGTGTTATACTCACTGCAAAACTGGAAGTTACAGGAATATCAAATAAATGCCCCCCTGTCCTCAGGTACATTCAGCCTCCTGTATTTTCAATAGGTTCAACTATAGCACTTTAAATAACCTTTGTTACCAGTGTCTCTGGTCCAGAAAGACATGAGACAGCACAGCTGGTTGTCAGTCATTGATTAAATGAAACAATCAGTAACATGCACACTAAATAATTCCTTTTTACTCTAAAGTAAACTGATTTTCATCAGCTCTAAAACAAGCATCAGCTTCGTTTTGCTTAAGTATGTCTTGAGTGGCACATGCAATAGTGTACATTAAATATTGATACTAAACATTCAGTATACACCCTGAGAAGCTCTCCCTCTGAGCAAAGCTTCCTGAGCAGTTGTGGCCACGGGAGTTTTAGTGAGGCTGTGCCAAGCAACTGTCCTTGTGAGAGGAACTAGAGAGGAGGCAAGAGTACAG